ATTAATGTTTTACTCATTTATATTAAATTAATTGAATTAATTGCATAATGAAATAATTTAACTGCAATTGTTATATTGTTAAAATCAGCTCTTTTTTTTACCAAAAAATAAATTTTGATTTAATTTATAGAATTGAAAGAATATAATTTTAGGAATGATTTCATTGATAGAATAGAATGAATATTGTCTGATATATATTGGTATTATTATTATCTCAATAATAAGATATACAAATTTCTCTCTCTCTCTCTCTCTCTCTCCCTCTCTAAAATTAATCATTCAAATGAGGAAAATGAAATACCTTATATAAATTCTTCCATTTTATTTTTATTTTTTGCATTATAAAAGCTATTTAAAATTTTTGATGAAAAATTTGAATAGGATATCAATTTTAGTAAAATTGGTTAATTAAAGGAAGCTTAATGATGCCAACCAAACATTCATTTTATAAATGAAATAACGATCATTTATTAGCAATGAAATGAAAGGTATATTTTATTTCTTTCAATTAAATTTGACATTTTTCAAGTTTTTTTCCTCTCATTCTTCTTCTCCTTCCATTTATATATTAAAATTGCTCTATCGGAATGAAAATGGAAAATGGAAACGTTTTGCCGATCGTCTTCAAATCAACAACAAACTACCAACAATATCACCACCACCACCACCCCCCCCCCCTTCATCTCACCCTCTTCCCCTACTTTTTGCCTTATACAGAAAATGAAAATTCAATTCATTCCAATCCATCGAGAATGATTGTTACGACACAGTTCCTTTTCGTCAAATCTATTGTATGTTATATAGATATTGTATGTATTGAATGATATATTATTGTATTCTATTCTCTAATGTGTCTGTTTATGTGTGTGTACATGTGTGTGTGTGTGTGTGTGTGTGTGTGTGTGTGTGTGTGTGTGTATCATTTTAGCATCAATTCTTTTTCAATCTTCTATAAAAGACGAACTTTTAAATGTGTGAGAAAATGCGGTAGGGTGCGGTAAGGTGATGAAATGAAATGTTATGAGGAAGGTAAATTGAAAAAATTTTAAACTGTATTCAAATCCAATTTAAATGATAATTAAACTATGTATGTAAAATGTATGCAATTAAAATAATTTGTTTCCTTTATGTATAGTAAATGGAATGAAAATTATAGTAAATTAACTATATATTTTCAACAACTATAAAATTATAGGAAATTAACTATATATTTTCAATGGAATTAATTTGAAATTGTTGAATTTAAGTATTCCATTTCTTCTTTCTCATTATATTTTTAGCAATATTTGTTATCTAAAAACATTCAATAGTAATATTTAAAATTAAAAAAAGAAGAAAAAAACTATATCTTAATAGTTAAGCTTTCAAAAATTATTATTTTAATCATTGATATCATAAATTTAAGGTTAAATTTCAATTTGTCACATAAATTTGTTCGAATGAAATAATGCAAAATTTTTTAGCAATTTTGTTGCCATAAATTTCCTTTCCTAAATTAATTAGCATTTTATATTGTTTTCATTAAAAAAGAAAAGTAAACAAATTTAGAACTTTTTAGTAACTAAATGAGATATATTTTATATATTCTTATTAAGTAAAATATTTAAGTTTTAAAATACTAATTAAATAAAATAATTAATTATGGAATTGAAATTTAAAATGTTGAATAAAATTTTTTACATTTAATATTTTAATTACAATTATATTAGGAAAGAAGAAAGTAACAGAATGAAATAAAATATAATATATGAGTTCAATGAATAAATGAATTATTTCATTGATAGTAATAATAGCAATAACAACAATGATAATAATTAATAATAGTAATAATAATAATGATAATGCCAACAATAATAATAATAATTAGTAGTGGTAGAAATAGTAATAATTAATAATAACACTAACAATGATAATAATTAATAGCGATAATTAATAATAACAATAATGACAACATATAGCAATAATAATAATAGTAATATTAATAATAATTATTATTATAATAATAAATAACAATAACAACAATAATTAACAATAACAGTAATTAATAGTATTCTAAAACAAATTATTTTCTTTAATACTCTTTTGAAATCTTTTTTCTACGCATTCAAATTCATTAACTACTTTTTTTGTAATTAAATCTAAACAATATATACTTTTCTTTTAAGTTTAATTTTTCTTCCTCCTTCTCTTTTCGTTCTTTCCAACTTCTTATTCTTATTATTAAAATGCTTCTTTCACTTCAATTGCAACAACAACAGTTTGCAAAAGCAAAGCAACAACTTTCAAGCAAACATTTCGCCTTCATACCATAAAGTATGCTTTCAAATTATATTGTTGTGAATTGCAGTCAATGGTAATTTTTGATAGATTTGTAGAAGAGATGGAATGAATGGAAGAAAAAACGATATATTGTAGTTATAATGTGGTTTGCTTCACTTTACACCATCATCAACCACAATCATCACTACAATCATCATCATCATCATCACCAATAACAGTAACAACAACAACAACAACAACAACAACAACAACAACAACAACAACAACGACAAAGAAGAAGAACATTTGTTGTACTTCAATGGATGTCTTCCTCTTCTTTTACTTTTCTTCAGCGAATTATTTCAATTTATTGTAAAAAAAAAAATCAAATAAAATAAATATGAAATAAATGAGTTGAATTTTTATAGCCTATTGAAATGCCTAAACACATATATTATATATATATACAAACACTGCCTAAACACATATATTATATATATATATATACACATAAATACATAATAATCATTTCTATCAATTAAAATATTTTCTCAACTAATAATATATAATTTTTGCAGTAACTATGTATATATATTTTGAATGTCTTTTTCTTAAATTCAATATTCTTCATGTTTTTTCATCTTTTCATTTAATAATATTTTCTTCATCTTTTCATTATTCCACCATTTTTTTTTTAATATAATAACTTTTTGTAGAATATTTAAATTATACTATATATAGTAATAATAGGATGATTTATTGTAATAAATATTTAATATATTTCTTCAAATCTTCCATGGTGAAATATTAGGAAGTTTAATGATGTGATAATCTAATATGAAATATATGTGTATATTAGAAATTTCAATTAAGTCAATTAAGACAAAGATTATTAATTTGGCTGTTAGAATTGATTAAAACTAAATAATGATTTAAAATATCTTCCATATTTTTAATGTGAAAGCAATTTAATAATTTAAATTTTAAAATTTTCATTAGAAGTTTATTATACAATTAACATCTAAGATGTTCATATACTACAAGGTGTAATAATAACCTATCACTTTTAATTACTAAGATGTGAATAGTTTTTTGTATATTTGGAAATTTTTTCATCCATCAATTAAATACGAAGTAATTGAAATTATACAGCGTAGTATTTAACATTCTAACTTAAATGCAAATGATAGGTTTGGAAGGATAAATGTTTTGAAATTTTCAGTATTAGCAATTAAGACCAGTTATATTTCATACCCTTGGCTGCACTTTTATTTTCTTAAATGTGAAAAAAAAAAGATCTTAAATGACAACGCCAACTGTATAAATACATATTTCACCAAATACATGAGAGATACAGTGATAAATTTCGAAAGAAATAGTGATGGAAGCATTTCCGGTTACTACCGTAATCGATGTGACTATAAAATTTCATTGAACATCATAGAATATGTTTGGCAAAGAAAGTTGTATGACAATATTGGAGGGCGACAATATGTCTTTGTTGTGAGCGACCGATCGGCGACAAATTTCGATGGACATATACCATTAGCCATCGTTATACCTGTGTAATGGAGCATATCTTGAAATAATAGAATACGCATGTTTGTTTTCAGATTAAGAAAGACGGCAATCCGATAAATGTAATGTTTTCCCTATGTTTTGAGAAGGTCGAAGACCTTTGGCTCATAATATGCATCGTTATAGGATAAGTATGAATAAAACAAATCAATAAAATTCAAGTTTGAAAAGAAAAAAGAAAACAGCAAAACATGATCGCTTTTAATCACTCGTTGTAAAATGTAACAGCTTGAATTACTCGGATTTTCCACTAGTTTTCCACTATCCTACCTGTTCTAGGTCGCTTAAGGCCACTTACATAGAAATATCAAGATAAAAGATGGAGCCGGCATCAACGACATGAACAAAGCGATAAATGAATAGTGAATATTAAACGGCAAATTTTAATAAACTAACAACATATTTTATAATATCGCTATATTAGCTGGAAATCTAAGATGATTGGAATTATTCAGGCTACGCACGATTCGTATATTTGAATAATACCGTATGCCTAACATTCACCATGGACCCGCTAGTTTATTTCAGTGACAGTTATAGTAAAACTAACAGCAATATCATAAATTAACGGCATCGATATCATAAATCTATGTTGTTAATATTATAAAAAGGTGATAACGATATCATAAATGAATAACAAGAATAACATAAACTAATAGCATGAATTAATAATCACTGATAAAAATCTCCCTGTAAATCTGAAAAAATATTTTCTTCTGAAAGGAATGAATGTTACAACGGGATCTTCCAGCTATATATGACAAAAAAATTGCAATTGGAATAAAAATATTCGAAAAAATGGTGAAATTAAGAAACGCTAAATAGAAGTGATAATAAACGCACAATGCCTCAAATTCATTGTAGACTTTGAGTTGGCAAAGATTTAAGAATTGAGAAAGATTTTAGGCTCTAAGTTGTCCAATTTGATCCAGAGTAAAGCTTGTTGGAATTTAGAAGTTCGAAGACCTTTGACTAAGCTGTCCTTGAAGAAGCACAATTTTGCTTTGACCCTAAAATTTATTATTTCTTCTAGACTGATTCATTACGTAATCGAGCGTGGCACAAGAAAAACATAAAATACAGAATATTAGGCTGTATTATAAATTTCGCATCTTATTACCTATATTTTTGTGATTTACTTTGATTGTTTGGTTTGGATGTAAATGTGTTGTCAATTTGCGACAGCCGTTTGGCGGATGTGTCGGTTTGGTGGATATGAATTTTTGGCTAATTGTATTCCGGCTATTAAAATGTTTCTCCAGGCTTATAAAATGGTGTATGAGCAGTTTGTTTTGCAATTTTGTAGTTTGGCACAAGGCTGTTGCGTTCGTAAGCGTGACACGCATTTCGCGCGTAATTTAGGTACCATTTGCATGCAGTTTCATTGAATTTGGATGCAGTCTGAATGTGATAAAGTTACTTTTGTGTCTGTCCAATTTTGCTCTTTTTTATATGATGAAACTACATGGAGCGAACTGATCATACTGTTTTACTGATCAAACTTCAGCAATGTTTGTACTGCCGTAATTTGATAGCTATCCATGCGTTTAGATAAATCGTTTAGTTTACATAAATCATCTGGAATCATTTAGGTGATTTACCTAAACTAGTTGAAGTCCAAAATCATTTATCAGATCCGCGACCAAGTATAAGCCATTCTTGACAAAAATTTATATTGCCATCAAAGTGTTAATTGATCTTCTAGTGAACTTAATTGTCGTTGTTAAGCCACTTAGAATTGTAACTGTGTAAGAAGCAGTATTCCATTTTCTGGATTTTCACTGAATCTCATCTTTCGATATTTATTCGATATCTTTCATATCTGTTTGTATTTTTTTTTGAAAGTTTCCATTGTAGTTCTTCCATATAAATTATGTCCGAATCAAGAACTGTTGTAAAGCTATTAAACCATAATGGAAGTCACCAAGCAAGGGATAATGAACATGCAAGACAGGAACCTAGCAGCAGCAACAGGTTTGTTTTTATGTAATAACTGGTATTTCGAAAAAGCTCATGGTACTGATTCTAAGTAGAGAGTAATGAACAGAAATTGTGAAGGTTTACCAAATATGAAACGCCAAATAGTTACGCTAGCACTTGCTGCATTACATATGTATAATTCAGTTTCGGTCATCAATGGTAAATTTTGAAGAGTATATTGTAGACCTTAAGTTATCGACATCTCAAATTGCCCACCTTCACAGGGTCGTCATGTAACATTATCTTCTCATCTTCTTTAACATGTATTTACCCTGTTTTTCGATACTGTTATTATTCTACTGTGATTAGGTTCCCCAGCTGTTATTAAAAGTTTTTTATCAGGAAAGTTTAGTAAGATTTTGAGGAATCTGTAGAGTAATAGATATGCTAGAGCTCATATTTCTGCTTTCTAGGAGAGCTGGGGCTAGGAATTTTGGTCGCCATGGAGGTAGAATTCAGCAGACGTATCAGAGAAATGGTCCGAACCACCGCGATTTTCATAACACAAAGAATGGAAGGGATGGGCATGATCCGATACCCAAAAAGCATATAATTCGCAGTCCAAAATATTATGAAGTATGTTTGCGTTTTATTTTAGAAATCCGCGTAAAAGTTTTTTAAATTATTAATAAGTGCTTATTATTTTGAACATGAACAGTGAACAGTCTTTTTTAGAATCGGTTGGATCATGGTGGTATCAAATTCAGAGGCGAAGTTTCAGAATGTGATATATGTTGCCGTGAATCCGATGTGTTTGCCGTTGGGCCATGTTTGCATCCTATATGCATAGAATGCGGAATTCGATTGCGAATTTTGTGTAAAAATGAGACATGTCCAAAATGTAGAACTATTATTGATGTGGTAATTCAATTTCTTTCTTGTTACAATTTTTTCTCTGTTTTACCCTTAACAACTCAAATTATGGTTAGGTGAAGTTCGAAATACCATACATCTTTAATATGATGCATGCTTTTGTGCATTTCACAACCATTGTTCATTTTATATTGTTAGCAAAGTTGAAACAGTTAAAAAAACTATTACCAAAGAGAGAAATAGGTATCTGGATAAGTAAATTGAGTTCTCTGCTTGAACTTAATTATGCATAAAATTTCAGTTATATTTTGTGCCGTTTCCGGGTGACTGGAATGATTACCAAATACCCCTTCAATGCGTAGAACATAGGGATGCTGCAAACCAAAAAGTTAAATTGGCGAATGATTATGTTGCAAGATGTTACGACAGTTATTTATCCCATCAGTGTTTAATATGTGAAAAAAAGTAGGTGTCAAGCTGTTGTTCAAACCTTGGAAATTATGAATTACTTCGTATAGAAAATCAAATTAATTTGTAGGGGTGAAAAACGGGTATTTGAAACGTTTGCTCAGTTGAATCAACATGTTTATATGGTCCATCGTTTTGAATTTTGTGATATTTGTGTGGAAAACTTGAACTTATTTACTCATGAGCGGAAATTTTATTCACAGTCTAATCTGAAACGACATCTCGAGCAAGGTGATTCTGATGATAAGAGCTTTAAAGGTAGGTATCTGCAATATGGCTTTGCAATTAGTACTTGTTGGTTAAACAGTTCCATCTGTTGAGCATCACATTTTTAGCATCATATGTAATAAAAGCCTCATAATATATCATCTTTTGCAAAACGAAGGCACATATATTCTCATGTATTTTTACTTATTTTTGTTGACATAACAAATTCTAAATTACAAAAGTTTGTGAAAAATATCTTTTTTTGAAGATATGTTAGATTGAATAAAATATTTTGTGTTTTCAGGACACCCAAAATGTTTATTCTGTGAAAAGCGTTTCTTGGATGAAGAGTTTCGTTACAAACATCTCCGCAAAGATCATTTTTTCTGCCAAATTTGTGATACTGAAGGGCGAAGCAATTACTTTTTTCCGTAGTTCCTATTTTTATTTCTTAAATCTTAGAACAAACTAAATTTATTAGGAAATATGTTTGAATATGGTCGTGTATATCTGGTTGAGTTTCATTATTTCAGGGAACATAAGGATTTGTTGAGCCATTACAGAGCAAAACATATTATATGTGAAGAGGGTGAATGTTTGCATTTGGGAATAGCATTTCGAACAGACACTGAACTGAAGTTACATAAGGTTTAATTTCTTGATTTCAAATTATTTTTCGGAAATTTTGCACATAGTGTATGAAGTTCTTAAATTTCTTCGAGATCTGTTTTGTGGTTGAAAGTTGACAATAGATTCTTATGACCTTTGCAAAAAGAGCATCGTTAATGTTTCCAGATAATGTAAAAATAAAAGTGTGCAATAATATTCAAATCAACACCAAATTTATGACTGAGTTATTGCTCTTTAATTTGTTTTTTAGGCACAATAAAGTTTCTTTATTTTGTTTACAAAATATTCACAATGTCTTACTCTTGTAGAGTCGAGATCATGCAGCAGGCCCACAGACACTAACGTTAGATTTTCATTTTTCGGACCGGAACCCAGCTGGATCAAATCGAGGTGGCAGAACAGCTCAGTTAACACATTCTGCATTTGCTCCAACGCCGAACACTTCAAAAATTAGTCTTACGCCACATGAACAACCTCTGCGACAAAATAAGTCAGTTCTAGTTACTTCACAAACATACCGTTTAGTGCTTCAATTAATTTGTTTCATCTAAACGTAGATGCAAATACAGGATATTATTTGCACTATTCTGCAGTATTAAAAAGTCGTTTCCTGGTGGCTTGCTTAATAGTTGGTTTCTGTCAATTGTAGCTTCTAATGTTTTAGCAGAAATGAAAATTGTTTCGGAAATAATGGGATGTGGAAATGTTTGGAGCTTATTACATAGCTATCACACGTTATTTTATCTCACTTTCAGAGTTTGTTTTGAAAGGTATAAATTGTTCACTTAAAAAGACATTAGGAATAGGTCATTTCAGATCAGTTCTCAACAACATATCGATTATATCTCCAGCAGAAAATGAACCAACCGGGTCATCTCCAAACTGCCTTCCACAATTCACATTACAAGGTAGTGATTTCCCCCGTTTAGGGAAATCTACGCGAATTTTCGAAGATTCAGATTCATTGTCTTCATCACAACATAGCAAAAATATGGCAAAACCTGGGAAAGCATCCACTGCAAACAGTGCCAAAGCTGCATCAAATCTTAACAAAGTAAGTCATCCAAATTGCTTTTGTTGCAAAAAGATTATTTAAATCGCTGATATTTTTTTGGAATTAATCTACGGAACACTGCTAATTCAATTTTATGCTGCAAAATTATTATATTTTTAGCCAAATGCTATTTCGTCGACGTCATGGTTTATTGATGACGACGAACAGTTTCCTCCTCATCAGCCACATCCAAGTTCTTTGAATAAACAGCAAGCTGAAAACGAAAAAACAGAAAATTCCACAACAAACAGAACTGAGGTATATAGGTTTTAAATTTTTTTTAACTTGTCTGCTAAGTTTTACTTGAGAAATTCGAAATGGAAAATTGTACAATGGTTAGGATGATATGACATTCCAAATCGATAGGGTATTTTTTGTACTGAAACCAAGGTATGGTTTTTACTGAGGAATTGATGAAATGATGCAACTTTTAAAAGTTCATTCAGGTCGACATAGCTAATTATATTTTTATATTCCTACTCGCTATCGTAATTTTTAATTAATTTATTTAGATTGAAGCTAGTTCAGGGACATCAGTGATCGAATCATCGTGGTCCAAAGCAATGAAAAAACCAATGTCCTTAAGCAATGTAGCATCTGCATTAACATTAAGCGATTTCCCAAGTTTACCTGCACATGGAGTATCCAAACCTGCGAGCAATTTATTACCTGGATCAGCATGGGCTAAAAAAAGTCGCTCTATCACGCAGGTGCTTCATTTTTTGCTTTTAATAAAAGTAGTGGGCATTCTGAGTATAAAAGCTGGATTCTATGTGATAGATGTTCTAGTAATAAGTTGGCTTCATGCTGAACGTGAATGGATTGTAGACATTCCAAAAGGAAGCCTGTTCGTGGTTACATATTTTTGTTTATCAATCCAATTCACTAGGCATATCTTGTAATAATAATGAAAAAAATTGTGCTTAATTAATTATTAAGCCAGTTTTTAATTCTACTAATTAATTATTCAGTGACATTCTGTATTTGCAGACATGTTCAAGACAGTTGAACTTTCCCTCATCAGCTTCTTTCACTAGTAACATCTCACGAAAAAATAAGCAATTACCTGTGCCAGATCTTTGGCCTCAAGAATCAATACCCGAAAAATGGGAGGATCGGGAAGATTCACCTACACTGGTTGCATTTATATGCATTCGTATTTTTTGATTTATAAAGAGAGTTTTTTAGAGTATTGCGGTTTTGATCATGTTTGACTTTGTTCGGTTTTATCCAGTCATTTAACTTCAGTTCATTTCAAGAGATCGCTATCAAAAATAACTTTGGAAGACATGGTTATTATCAAGGATGCTTCGAACAAGAAAAAAGAGAGTGAAAAAACCAAGGACAAACAGCGGCATAATTTTGCTAAAAAACTGGATAACGAATTATCGGAAGTGATTGTTTATTTATTTTTGGTTAACTATGTTCTTGACTTTATGAGAAAATCCAGAAAAATCAAAGTTTTTATAGGGTAAAAAAAGGAAAATGGAAAACAAAACAGTTGATGAGTTCATTGATCCTTTCCCATCTCTGTCTTCTCACATTCATCACGAGCCTGAAGCTAAAGAGACTTGTGCAACAAAATCATCATTGAATTTATCAGAGGTTGTAAAATCGTTTCAATTCTGCAACCGCTTCAAGAAAACGCTTGAATTATATTCCTGCAATAAAAAATTGGCAGGCGGTTTAAAGAAATGTTTCATATTATTAAGTTTAACTTTAATATATTTCCTTATTATACAGTTCTGGTTAAGCCTGTTATTTTTTATTCATTGCTCATAAATAAGCAGCAGTTTCAGTTACTGTCATCAACCTTCTCAGTTCTTAACAACGTGACAATAAAAGATAAAAATGATTCTGCGGAAACGGTTGCTATAGGTTCTACAAATCAAACGACGATTGATGCGTCATCGTTCAGGACTTTACCGGAGCTTGGTGAAGGGTCAAATGAAAAAGTACGTTTTTTTAACAGTTCATAAATTTTAATACGCCCTGTAGTCGCACATTATTATTCAAGATCTCTCAATTCAAAATGTGTTTGCGTCTTAATAGTTTTTTTAATTTTACATCTTCATAAGATACAATTCGGTCTTATTTCCACGTAAAATTTTTTTAGAAACACTTTACAACTATATTGTTTTCAGGTCTTTAGGAAACAATCAGAAATTCTTCCACTTGATATTGGCTCGCCTCCTGGATTATGCACAATAAATTTGGCACCTCCTTCTGTTTTTGGTCCACCACCAGGTTTTGCTAATATAACATGTCCAAAAATGCAAGCTTCATCGAATGATACAGTTATATCTCCTGATGAAAATGGAGGCGGGAATGTTTCAAAAGCAGTAAAACATGATAATAAGAAGAAAAGCAAGAAATGATGGAAAGGTGTACGGAACCGGTAAGTAGAGCTGTCAATCTGTCTGTTAAATTTTTTGAATTTTCAAATTGTTATATTTCTTATTGCGGACTTTGAAAATATGAAATTTCTTCTTAAGGTCTTATTTAACCTTTTATTAGGTTCATTGAATTATACTTCTATATATATATAACTGCTGTTTATATCTTATGTTCATTTTAAGGCCTTATTTAAACTTTTAGGTTAATTAGACTATATTAAATATTATACAGTTTTTCTTCGGGTAGAACCGATACCTGTGCTTCGTTTTTTATTTGTTATTCTGCTCTTCTTTTTTTCCGTTGAAATTAGTTTTAAAAATTATTTGCTTATTAAGGAGGGTGGCTATAAGAGTTGACTAGTGTATGCTATACTGTCAGCATATCCTGTTTAATATCACTTTTCCAAAAAAAAGATATTTCATATTTTAAATTGTTTTTTTTATTTAGTAAAATTAAATGTTGCTCTTGCAAACAGCATCGATCACTTTTTGCGTTTACTTTTGGGCAAATATTTTTTAATATAATCGCTCTTTGATCAGGCATGCTTTGCAAGTTAGCTAACTTGCAATAGTTATTGCTTGGCAACATTCTTCAGATGTAAAAGTAAACTTTCCTACTTCGGTACTAATTCGTACTTAAGAATACTGTCATTTTTCTATAAACTTGAAGTCTTTAGATAGTATAATGTCTTATTTTATTGTATCACTTCATTGGTACATGGAAAACTGAAGGTGTGATTTTAATATTGCTACTTTCGCGGTTCTGAAGTTTTCATTCCTTCTCGTTTTAGATGGACATTTTATACATACGTTGTTTATCTTATTTATTATCTTCTAGCCTTTCTTTATTATTCAATTGCTTGAAGTTTTTCAAAGCATTATTTGCTTGAGTATGCATTGTGCTATATTTGATTACAGGATGAATAAATCAATAACAAATGAAATTGCTGTTAAGAGAGAAATTCGATTACTACTTTCCTTCTTAAATAAGTTATAGCATTTAGAATACTTTTCCAGGTCAGTGGAATAGAGAAGGAGCCGCGATATGTAAGAAAGAGAGATTGGTTAAAAATTGCTAGTGCTTTTTCATTGAAATATCAATTTACTCTTTTACTCCCTGATCATGCTCTAATCCGTTATAGAGGATTTTTCTGTTAATTCTAGCGAAGTGAGTATGGGTGTTGAAAGCAAGATTAAATATTTTTCGAATAAAAATTTTTCCGATATCTTTTCAATTTTTAAAATTTAAGGACTGATTGATTTTAAGAAAATCAAATGAAAAGTTAGTTAAAATTCACGAAATTTTATTTAAGAGAGCTGTTATCATTCATTTTTTTTTTGATGAAAATATCTTCAACATTTCTTTGCAATCAGAAAATGATAAAAATATGAAAAAGATGATATCGTTGAAAGAGGAAAATGAATAATAGATATATCTATTATAATTTTGTTAAGCGTATAAATCATTTTTTCATGTTTCAGTTTAACTTTCAAAAAAGCATTTAAATGATATCAAATGTCTTCTTACCTTTTACCCTAAAGAATAAGCTAATGAAAAAAGGTGGATTTGAGTAAAGAGGAAAAAATTGGTCAGTTTAGGCATAACAACAAAAATGTTGAATTTATTAATTAAAATCGAATAATAGCAATAAAACAATACTTAGTAAGTCAGTATATAAGTAAGCAAATAAGTGATGGATGAAGAAATCAAATTGAGAAGTGAATATCGTTAGATAGATGAATATCATATGTGTGTATGTGTGTGTAATTGATGTATTATACATAATATAAATTGATTTCTTCCTTTCCTATTTTTCTTCATTTTTGCTTTTTGACGAATAATGCTTATTAGCTTTGTTTCGATTTGTCATTTATCAATGATAATAGATTGGAAAACGGAGAATGAAAGGGAATGAAAAAGTATGATAAAAAATTTTGACAAACTGTTAGGGATAGATACATACACCTTGCTTTGAGGTTTTGAGCCTTAGCAAACCGAAATTTTGTGTAATATATTTTGACAACAAATGAATCCAAAATGGCAACATTTGATTTTGCCATTTAATTGTATCGAATTTCACTTTGACATGGAATATCGTTTCGTCTCAACTAACTTTTTCTTCCCAAAAAATGCTAACAGAAAATTTATGAAATAACATTAATTAATAATGTAAGTAATAACAATGAGAATAGGAATAATAATAATAATAATAATAATAATAATGATTAATGATAATAATACTAATAATAATAAATAATGATTATAAATAATTCTAGTGATGTTGCTTGATTTGATCATTTAAGAATCTTAAGAAACTTTTTCAATAATAATAATGATTAATGATAATAATACAAATAATAATTCTAATGATGTTACTTGATTTAATCATTTAAGAATCTTGCAGGATCTTAAGAAATTTTTTCTTCCATCAATCTCAGTGTTGTGCTTCTTGATTGAACAACAATTTTCTCGTTATTAGTGGAGGAAAATATGAGTTTTAAATGGAAAGTAAAATTTTGAGTATCAAATGAAATATGGATAGAAGGGAAAAAAGAAGCGTACGTAAGAAGTAACGTAAGTAATTTTCTCGTAAATAATTTTGTGTCAGCATTTTTGGAAGAAAAGTTATAATCCCCATATTATCATTAAGTTTTTGACGTCAAAGCTTGAAAGGGACTTTTTTTCGATACTAAAGGTAAAGGTAAATGTAGGCAAATGTAGCAAAGAATATTTACGGAAATAGAATACAAGAATTGATGGCGATAATCCTATCGTTGTCACTATCACTATTATATTCTAAAGATAACAATATTTTCGTGGATTGCTAAAATAAATCTTCTGAAAAAAAAGCGAATGAATGATGAATTGGGGTTTATTCCGGAATTCCGCAATAGGCAAAAAGAACGATAGGCGATCGTCATTACCTGACAGTATTAGATATTTCATTATAGCACTCTAATATTGTTCAGGTAAGACGATTGCCATTCATTTTGGGTGAGGATAATAAAATGAAAATTTGATAATGATGTTCCTAAGTTATATATAATAACAATTTAGTTATTATTTTACGAGATACAATAAATCATTTATTTTACAGGATATAATAAATTACCCATAAAAGTTACAGTAATAATGTCCCCCAAAAAAACTTTTTCTTTGAAGTATTCCCATGAGAAATACTAGTATTCTAACTTTTTAAAACAATAGAGTGTTAGAGTGATAATGTAACAAAAATTAAACATTTTGAAACAACCAAATTATTCAAATCATATTGTTAAGAATATTTAATGATATCTGACTTATTTCATCAATAATCACTTCCCCTTTTATCATACCTATGATATTACTTAGAAATTAATTTACCATGCACATTAACAATAAGTAATAAGTAAATAAATAAATAATAAGTGATAAATAAAATAAACAAATAAATAATAAGTAAATAAATGCATAATAAATAAATAATAAGTGAAATATAATAGTGCATGAAATAATACTTAAAATAATAATGCATCCTTTCAATTTAAATTGTTGTAACAAGGAAGCGTGTATAATTAAAAATACTAATGAAACTTTAAAGAAAGTTTATAGTAATGAAAAATTTTAAACTAAAAATACCTCAAAGAAGACATTACTTTTCTTGGATTTAAATTTAACTTCCGTATGTATATTTAAAACAAAAATTTTAAGCATTCGAAAAATAAATTTAAAACAAAAAAGTTTATCATAATCTTAAGAAAAATCATTTGAACAGGATATATTTATAAATTAAATTTATCATGATATATTTTTCATTACCACAATAAAGCTTACTTCGTTACAATGATTTTAGTTGTTTGTAAATCTTTAAAAATCAAATTACAATGACAAAGATAGATACCACAATAAAACTTCGTTACAATGATTTTAGTTGTTTGTAAACCTTTCAAAAAAATATAATCATAATGATAGATCGATTAGATGGAATTTTTGATGTAATCAAACCATTTTTGATTTATGGTTGGATGAAAAGTTTAGCGCAAAAAATTTATTTTAAGCTAAATAATTAATCAAGTAATACTATCTTCTCTTTAACTGATTCGCTATGATAAGGAGATAAATGATAAGAAGATAAAAGATAAAGAAAGGAAATTATGAATTCGTCAGAAATGTTCAAAAAATTAATTCTATTTGTTATTACAATTTAAATTTAGTTTAAAATAAATGAAGTTGAATTTTTTAAATTTAAAATTAATCGGTAATATCATTGAATATTAATTTTCGTAATTTATGCGTCTTTTTTCCCCTTTCAAATATTTCAAATATTAGCTCTTATGCTAATCGTTGCTGTTATCCCATAATATGAAATATGATAAAGCTGTCAAAAAAACAAGAGTAGAAACCGTATTATGCATCATCCCAAAAAACTACTAATCGAAATTATTGATTTGATATAAAGCAGTGAAAAATGTACTAGATCCATACCTGAGATAAATTCCAATTTAAAAAAATACAATAATTCAATTTTAATAAAACTCATTTTAAATTAAATAATAAAACTCATTTTAAATCAATTGATTGATATCCAGTAATACTATTGTCTTTAACTGATTATTCAATATGATAAAAAGATAATATCATTGCAATAATAGTCTTCATATGATAAAGAGATAATATCATTACGATATATCCAATTATTCTGTAAACTATAAAGTTTAGTGAAATTTTTTGCTATAGAATCGAAAATATAGATGAAATTTACAAAACTTTTTGATCATGATAATATCAACAATAGTCTAATCAAATTAATATTTTACGATGAAAATAATTTTATCTGTTTATCAAATAATTAATTTCTCATATTTGATAATGTCTGATAAATTTATTCATTTTTGATTAAAAGAAAATTATGAATTATACGAATAAATTATATCACATCTAATTAATAGTAATCATCATAATTGATTATCAATAATATTCGATTATGATTGAAATATATCCT